AGTTGCCGTTTTCTCATCTTTAAAATGGAAAACCTTCCAAGCTACTTTATAGTGTTGTAGGGATTAGAAATATTATATTAATAGAAGCTACAATCTTTAATCTTTCAGTAAAACAACTTCAAAAAATATAAATACTAAATCACTTGGGTAAGTTTCTAGGAAAAATTGGTTTCTAAAATAGGACAAGGGCATGGAAGGTACATGGGCCCTTCACATTGTACCCACAACAAAGCAAGCACTTTCACATTACAACCCCTTTGTCTACTGCTCTAATGACCAGCTGCAACTCATTATTTAGATCAGGACCAAATATCACCTCCTCTGTGAAGTCTCCCTCTTCTCTGCCCACTCATGTTACAGCTTGCATCACATTGCATGGTGTTTACTCAATGTCTGTTCCTACTCCCACCTGACCCCAAGCATTCACTAGGGCAGACGTTAGGTCTTGATCATCTTTGAATGGCCAGTTCCAAATCTCCTGTTTGCGACAAAACACTCAAATGTACACTGAACAAGTAAACTGCTTTTAGGGACCAACTGAAACATTTCCTGAAAGATAAATTTTTTTTCACTTCAGTCATATAAAATTAGGGATAGTACAACTTAGTCTCAATCTTGTTCTTAATTTTTGATGCTCAGTCGTTATTTTAAGAGGACACAATGCAGCTGAAATAAGCAGTAGGAACAGTATCTGAGGCCAAAAGAGAAATTAATGCTTAAAAAAGTGAGTTGTGCATCAAATCCAGGAAAAGGCGGCTATTTGGCTAAGACTACAGTTTCAAGGGTTTTACCAAAACCTCCTTAGAGAGAAATGAGGTTAGACTGCTTAGCTGGCCACTGAACAAACCATTGGGGCTCTAATCCTGACTTCACCTCTCACTAGAAAGGTGACTTTGAATTGTACCTGTTATTTAACGTCTCTGCACCTCATAGTCTACTGTAGTAATTGAGTTGGCAGTGAAATGTAATTAAATAACATGTAAAAATACTAACTACAGTCCCTGCTACACAGCAAGTACTCCACAAATGGCATATAACCTGTTCATACTCTAAACCAGCCTCATGGGAATCTTCTCTAGGCTATAAGAGAGCTTCAGGAGACAGGCCTTTCAGAGAGGTCAATGTGATGACATCAGAGAGAATTTGCTACAGAGCAGACACGCCTGGTTAACAGCAGACCTAAATGCTTCCCTTCACAATTACTGCCACTAGACCGACGATGGCTGCTTACCACTCAAGCAGGAGGTAAATGTTCAAGACTAAGCAACCACAGACACAAATGGATAAAGTCCCAATGGAACATGTAATCAAAGGCAAGAAAGCTATTTTCAGTAACTTGCCTATTGTTGTTAAGTGAAAGTTGCTTCCTTTAAACAATGCATTGAATCAGGCCAAAAAAAATTAAATTTCAGTTGAAATAGTGAGATGCACAGAAGAATGTCTTAATTTTGTACACAGAATGTACCAAACTATGACTATTCTTTCTCCCATGTCCCTAACATGCATCTTTCAGTGTTCTCTGTTTTCTTGAATGGCACAGTCATCCAGTCTAATTCCTTCAGCTTAAAATCCTAGGAGATATCCTGGAAACTTCACTCTTTTCATTCTCCATATTAAATCCATACATTTTGCTTCTGAGGAATCCTTCAATCTGTTCACTTCCTGCCACCCATTTACTTCCTTACACCCACTGGAAACACCCCTATTGTTTTTTGCCTGCGCTACTAGTTTATAAAAACCTTAACTTGCCTTGTCATGCCCACTTCTGTTCCTACAATCTATTCTTCACACTATAGAGTGATCTTGAAAAATAAAATCTGATCTTGTCATTTCACTCCTTAGAATCCTTCACAACATACCACTGCAGTTACGATTCTAAGAACAAATTCTAAACCACTGCCTCCAGGACTGGGCCTGAGCATCCAGCTTTAGCTCAACTCACTCCCACCCCACCCCAAGGATCTCCACATTACATCCTGACCTTCCAAACCTTCAACTGAGCCAAGTTCCCTACCACTAGGACTACAAGGTCTCTGCACATACTCTCTTTTGTGTAAAACTTATACCCCACACTCTCCCCCAAGTTGTCTCCTACTCATGCTTCAAAGCTCAGTTCAGGTGTTATTTCTTCAGGGACCCAACAGACTAGAGCAGTTTTCTACTACATCTTCTTGTAGCATCATGTCCTTCTCCGTCATCAAATCATCTCTGTCTATAACAGTGATTATTTGATTAGTTATGTCTCACCTTTAGAGCAACTGAACTATTATGTATATGACCAAGGCAAGTTAAGGCTTTTATAAACTAGTAGCCCAAGCAAGAAACAATGAGGGTGTCTCCAGCCCCTACCTACTGGGATCAACCTCTAGAAGGTAGAATTACCAAATCCCATCATCCATACAACTTCCCAAATAGTCTGTTCTAATTCTTTGGAAAAAACCCACCATCTATGTAAACTTAGGAGTGTTAGATTAAAAAATGACTGCATAAAACCCAATCTTTAAGACAATTTCATCTTGAGCAACAATTACTAGCAGTTTATTTGTCAAGTTAAAAGTTCCATACTTTCGCCCTGACCGGTTTGGCTCAGTGGATAGAGCGTCGGCCTGTGGACTGAGAGGTCCCAGGTTCGATTCCGGTTAAGGGCATGTACCTTGGTTGCCGGCATATCCCCAATGGGGAGTGTGCAGGAGGCAGCTGATTGATGTTTCTCTCTCATCGATGTTTCTAACTCTCTATCCCTCTCCCTTCCTCTCTGTAAAAAATCAATAAAATATATTTTTTAAAAAGTTTCATACTTTCAATATTGCAGAGAACTTGATTTTAATGGGACATGTGCATCTACCACTAAAATGACATATGGATTACAACTGAAGGCAAGGCAAGGAGATGGCACCTTTATCAATCTACCTCAAGTCATGTGCTAAACGGGAAAGAGAAACTTTGGAACTACAAACTTCTATATTCAACTCTTTGTTTCACCTTATCTCCCTAAACCTAGTTTCCTCATCTGGAAAATGGAAATAATTTCCACGTGAGCAAACACGTGAAGATTAGAAACAATTAAGCAAAATCACTTATATGAAAGTATTGGTGCCTTGGCTGGGTAGCTTAGTTGATTAGAGCGTAAACCAAGGTTGTGGGTTTCGATCCCCATTTAGGGCACATACAAGAATCAATCAATGAATGCATAAATAAGTGGAACAACAAATTAATGTTTCTCTCCATCCCCCTTCCTTGCTGTCTCTAAAATCAATAATTTTTTTTTAAAGTATCTGGTGTATAGTAAGCTCTAAGCAAGACTATATAGCATGGTGTAAGTAAGTTCCCCTTTTTCTCTTTTTTTGTTTTAGTCTGTGATGGTTCCCAAACATTGAGTTAAGGAAATGCTAATAATGACCAGGCTTCACCCCAATTAAATAACCTCTTAGCAGCTATTTTTCTGTCTTCGGTATCCCACTGAATGCACTCTGCTCCTCAATCTGTGCTACATCTTTTAGCTTCCTCATTGTCAAAAAACATCCCTTCATCTATGTGCAACACTGCTCATCTGTCACTCCCTCCAGGAAGCCTCTAGCCCAGCCGTGGGCAAACTACGGGTTTGAAATGAAAAAAACTAAAAAGAAAAAAGACCGTACCCTTATATGTAATGATGTTCACTTTGAATTTATATTAGTTCACACAAACACTCCATCCGTGCTTTTGTTCCGGCCCTCCGGTCCAGTTTAAGAATCTATTGTGGCCCTCGAGTCAAAAAGTTTGCCCACCCCTGCTCTAGCCACTCGGCAAATTCCATGAGAAAACCCATGACATTCTGTAGATTCTCCTTTCAACTTCTGTGCACACCCATCCTATACCCGTGTCATGTTTCCAGAGACCATGTATAATCCTAGAAAATAAAGGAGACGCCATTCCTCCAAAAAAGGAGGCAGATCTCCTACAGGTTGTACTGTACCTGGAGCTATGTAGCCAGGAGCAGCTGCAGCCCCAACAAAAGCTCCCCTTGTTAGAGTTCCTCTTCCTCTGCCCCGAACAGCCTGGACTGCTGCAGACACAGCTGTATTCACAATACCCTTTGCCTGTTAAAAATAACACATTTTTATTACTGAGAGAAATAAGAACTATTATCCTATTATCTCTGAGAAACTTGAGCCTGTAGTTGAGACAGTGTGTTGTCTATGACCTTAAGCCTTCACTTTATCATCTGTAGAATGAAAATGACACCTGCCTTACAGAGTTGTTCTAGATAATATGCTAAGTACCTAAGAATATGCAAATCACTTCTTTTCACTTGAGGGTTACCCAAAAAGAGTTCATTTCCTACATACAAATTTCAGTATCAAATTACATCCAAACTCAACTGAGGCCAGATTAGAGTAATTATAGACACTTGATCGAAATCCATTGACTTCTCCAGCCACAGACAAAAAATACTGCAACAAACCACCCAGAACAAGCTGCAAACCGGAATGGAATTTTTGTACAAAAGGACTAAGACAGAAGACAAAAGATGAGGATCCAGTTTCTGCTCTAAGTTACTAAAACCTCAGGAAGGTCATGCGATTTCCTTGAGCATGCCTCTTCTATTGCGGGCGTGTGTGGGGGTGTGCTGCACGCATGCGCCAATCATCTTCACTAATAAAAGAGAAACATGGTAATTGGCATACAACCGCCACCCTTGCCATTGGCTAATCACGGCGATATGCAAATTAACTGCCAACTAAGATGGCAGTTAACCGCCAACAAAGATGGTGGCTAATTTGCATATTGCAGGCAGGATGGGACAGCGCCATCCTGCCTGCGGTCCTGGGGTGCACATCAGACTCTGACTGGAGGGAGATTTTCATATACATTTTACTAATTTTCTTTCATCTATGACACTTCTATTATAGAGAAAGGGCAAATAGCAATATTAAAATACTTCCTCTAATTAATTCCCTTTCAATGTGCATGAATTTTGTGCACCGGGCCACTAGTCCTATATAATAAAAGGCTAATATGCAAATCGGCCGACGACAGAACAACCAGTTGCTATGACACACACTGACCACCAGGGGCCAGACGCTCAACATAGGAGCTGCCCCCCTGGTGGTCACAGCGCGCCCACAGGGGGAGCGCTGCTCAGCCAGAAGCTGGGCTCATGGCTGGGGAGCGCAGAGGCGATGGCGGGAGCCTCTCCCACCTCCCTGGCAATCAGACATCCCCCCAGGGGGTCCGGACTGCGAGAGGGCACAGGCCGGGCTGAGGGAGAAACCCCCACCCCCACCCCCCACCCGCAAGTGCATGAATTTTGTGCACCAGGCCTCTATCTAAATAAATAAGTACATATATATACACATACCAACTCTAAAGTCTTTTCTTGCTCTAAAATGCCATGGAGTCTGGTAAAGTCCCATAATCTCTCTCTAGAAGAGTTGCCCTAGTAATTGTAAAATAATACTCATTTTGCTCTCCTTACTTCAGAGTACAAAGAGCAGTATTGAATACAGATATAAAACTCTGGAAAGTTGACTGAATCAAGGAGTAACAGCAAACACGGGTCGCTAAAACATCCCTTTCCAAAACTAAAATTTTTTAAATCAAAGGATATCTAGTTTTAAATTAAATATTATTCTTATTTTGTAGTGAAATAATGCAACAAAAACTCGAGCTAGAAACTACTAATATTCCCTACTACAAACAAGGAAGGGGGAAGGGGAGAGAGCCTCAAAGCTCACTGTATGATAAAGCCAACAGTATCTCAGAGCACACACACATTTATCTCACATGGAAATACCATCATCCTCTGCTCCTCTTAGGTCAGTCTCTCTGCTAGTATAACTAGGCAGAGGCAGTTTCAAGGTTGAATATATCATACACAGAGAACTGCCATTTTATTTTTTTGGCTGAAAAAAAAATAAATCACCCCACACATCCAAAACAGACTGCTTCTTGGCTGTCAAGCACACTGAACACAGGAGGTTTATAGCTTCTAGTATGGAAAATTTCTAAAAATGAGTGAACTTCAAGCAGACTTTTTTTTTTTTTTTAACACAGCTTATTCAAAAGTAGTCAGGAAGCAACAATCTGGCAATAACAGAGTGACCTCACACAAATTAAGCTCATTCCTACTAAAACTAAACTTACTTAAAAAGTCTCTGCAAGTAGGCTTTTTAAGCACAAAAATGAACTGGCCAATTACAAGATGTAATTCATAGGAAAAAGACACCAAAATAAACAAGGTAACAATTATCTTTCTCCTAATTTAGAACATATTCTATAAGATTTAGGAAAAGAAAATCCACTTATTCTCTCTACACGTCTTCCTCTGCAATTTAAACTTTATTTTTTAATTTAATCTCAGTAAAAGTTTGTCTTCCTTGTTTATATTTTGAATCCTAAAATTTAAGCAATTTATTATAGTACATAAAATAAGTTAAACACAAAACAAGTTTTTAAGATGTTATATGCAACAGTAGAATGCCCATGCCTTTGGAAGGAGAAGACCCTGGTTTTAAAAGGAACTTCTACCATCAATCAGCTATGTTGCTACACACAGTATCTTAATTTCTTAGTGGCCTGTTTCCTCATCGATAAAATGAGATCAATTCTACCGTCCTATAATAGACTTAGCATATGTAAAAGAAACTGTTTAACACACAATCTTAAATAACCCAAGCTTCCTTCTATTAATCTAATTATTTTAATTGCTTTTTCCTATCACCTAATATATTTAGATATTATTACACAAGTACTCTCCACGAAGGATGTGTCTTATATTTATTTCTGTATCTTTTCCCCTCACAACCATCCACATGGTATATGTCTAGAAAATATTTTTGAATGCATTAAAAAAATGGTTAGAAGAATCTGTTATCCAAAAGCATGGAATTAGGACGCCATCTTTTCCAAATATCTTGTTAATTCCAGACCTTTGCAGCACTGACATTCCCAATCAACAGAAGAAACAACACAGGGTCAAGTTCTACTGTGCCATCTCCAACAGAAAACCCAAAATAAAGGCTGCAAAAATTCAAAACTGAAAAGGAAATGGAAAAGCATCTGCAGACTGATGAAAGTAAGTCCAAGTCCTCTTGGCAGCTTCCCTAAACCAGACAAATGCTAACATCTCATTCAAGTCCAAATCCCTTAACACTCCACCTCATCGAGAGACCTGAAGCCCCCAAATAATGCTAACATTCTCTTTTCAATATATAATCTGCCTAAGACAACCACAGAACAGGGACCTACTGACACATTTATATTATTAATAACCTAACCCAAAGAAAAGATTGCTAAATCCAAGAAAAACAAATACTTTTTTAAAAAGCTAACAGGGCACAAAAGCAGAAAAGGAAACTTAATTCTGGAAATATTTTTCAAAGTTATTAATGGTCAACTCATACCTGAGGGATAATCTTCTTTTTCTTATTATTTGCTGCATTGGGTCCAGAAAACAGCTTCTCCAGGGCAGCTAATGCTGCACTCGCCTTTGCCACTTTCTTATTTGGACCTGCACCTCTGAATTTCTGTCCGTCTACTTCTACCTAAAATCAAGAATGACACTCTGAAGTTAGCCCATGCAATTCCTCTATGTAGTTTAATTTAAATGGATCATAACACAGAAAACACCAAAAGTCAAATAGTGCCACAAGAACAGACTCAGTCTATTTATGTGTAAGCCCAGGATGTCCTACGTGTCTGAGGGCAAAACAGGTTGGCTTGTATCTAGGTACACACCTCCATCACAAAGCGCTTGTCATGGCTTCCACCAGTCTCCGAGATGAGTTCATACTTCAGACCTCTTCTTTTTTCATTGAGCTCCATTACAGGATTTTTGCCACTTGCTGTGAGAATAGGGCCCTGAGTTCTTACCTAGAAGGAGGTTCAAGCAAGCAAGATTTCAAAGTATTAAATTTCTTATTATACAATTATACTGTCTCTGTTGAAACAGAGTCTCAAAATTGTATTTTTAAAGCATTCAGGAGCTAGTGCATGAGCACCTCCATACACAAATGACAAAGTATCTATAAAGGTGCGAAAACTCTACAAGCAGTAAACATCCCAGTCAGGCAGTCATCTGCACACCCTGACTTTGAAGCAGGGCTGACCCAATAGAAGAGTATTCAAGAGTAATGTAATCTTGCCATTACAGGCAGTCCTGAGGTTACGTCAGACTCGACATACGTTGTTTCGTGGTTACCTCACCATCTCCCATTTATTTATTAAAAAAAAAGTTCCGTCATTTTGACTTATGTACATATGTGCTTTATGTTTTTATTATTTATTTACCACAAGTAAAGGTCAGGAATTTTTATCTTTCTTTAAATTTTTTTTTTTACTGTTTCACTTAATTACTGCTGTGTATGTGCTCCATGTGAGTGACGTAGGTGTTTATGTAGGTGGGTTCCAACTTATGGTGAAAATCGCCTTACGTCACACCGTAGGAATGGATCTCCAACGTAACCCGAGGACCTACTGTACATCGTACTCTTGAGTCTGATCTGTGTTCATGGTCTAAGAATAATAATCTAAATTACTAACAAAGTGGATAGAACTGTTGAGATTCAAATGAGTGTTCACAGTTTTTTCATCGTTAGGATTACGAAAAAAATAACTCAATTTAGGAGACTGGAAGAAAATGCCCATTCACACCTTTCAGAATCTCTAAAGAGATTTAAGGTTACCTAAAGTAAAAAACAAAACAAAACAATGGGCTATAAACTATGGATTCTGAAATTTTAAAATAACAATAAAAGTTGTCATTCCCTGTCTGCAAGGAGCTATAGCGCAGTGGGAGGGACAGATATAATCACTGTAAAACAATGTATATTACAGAAGAGATGTAAATTATGGAAACACCATAGAACCACTTTCTAGGGCTATCAGGATAACTTTCCTGGAAGTGACAATGTGAACCTACCCATAAAAGGGAGCTAAGTGCCAGACCATCCTAAGGAGGAAACAAAGGAGAAAGGCATTCTGGACAGAAGAAACGGCAGGAGGTTCATTTGGCTGAATGAAGGGGTGAGAAGAATAAGGCAGAACCTCACACTGCAAACACCCCTATTGGGGCCAGATCATAATCACTGTGTATCAGGCACACAGGCGTTGCCTGTATCATAGACAGTGGAAAGACTAAAAGACTTTCATCTGGGCAAGTACATAATTAGATCTGCGTTGTAAAAAATTACTCTAGGAATGGTAGAAAGAACTGACTGTAAAAAAGGTAAGAGTCAAGGGAAGAAAAGTAATTCTCGTAAGAGTGTGAAGGCTCAAATTGTGAAGTTAGCACCAAAAGTAAAACAAACCACAAAATACTACAACTATGATTTTGAGGAAGACCCAAAGATTGAGGACTTTTTGAGGTTAGAGATCATGTCTTTAATTCCACTACAGTAACTGCTCAAGAAATGCTGAAAAAGCCCTATCTGGTTTGGCTCAATGAATAGAGTGTCAGCCTGCGAACTAAAGGGTCCCAAGTTTGATTCCAGTCAAGGGCACATGCCTGGGTTGTGGGCTAGATCCCTAGTAGGGGGGGCATGCAGGAGGCAACGAATCAATGATTCTCTCATCATTGATGTTTCTCTCTCCCCCCCTCCCTTCCTCTCTGAAATCAATTTAAAAAAATGCTGAAAAAGAAATGAATGCCCAAAAGAATTATTATGTATATAAACCTAATGGACAGCAAGATTCTTGCTGATTTGGTAAGTGGTTGATGCTGTAGAAGTGAAACACTGAACTCTTTTTAAAGACAAGTTAAAATAAATATTTCTGAGTCTTTTGTAATAAATATGCTTTTTGAAGAGCTTTTATAATCTAAATTTCCAGTCTCCAGCTTTAAAAGGTAATAATTTTTTAAAAAACTAGTCTATGGTAATCTCATTCTGCTTCCCAAATCTGAAATCACTTTTATAAAAATAAGTCAAGATATAAAAATATTTGCATTCTAATCAGTTACTCCTACTTCAATGAAGAATAGGGCTTTGTGTCGCCCCCCCCCCGCCCCTTACTACATCACACAGAAACAAAGCAGTGATGTATTCACTACCAAAAGCTCCATATACTCGTGACTGCTATTAGTGCAGCCACACTGCACTCTTCCTTCCTAATTGCCTCCCAACTTAAAGGTCTGAGCCTCATAATTAACGAGCTTTTTCTCTTCTTAGAATTTCAAAAACTGCCAGCAAAACATCTTGCTCTGCCTGTGACTACCACTTGTGAATGACTGACTAGTCTTCTCAGAAGCCAGGTACCATGTCTACTATTCTCAACATGGTTTTTTACAGGCTTTAGTCCCTATCAGGCCCTCCTTACTGGCCCACCTGGTGCTTCTAAACATTTCCTTTCACAACTCCTCTATATCTACTAGTCCTCTGACCTAGAATGCCTTCTTTCTATCTTTTCCCTAAAAAATCCTACACATCATCTAAAACCTAGCTCACATTTTATTTCCTTTGATTTCACATGTGTATAGGTTTCACTCATTTCCTACTTGGAGATTTTACATCATTATATTCAGTTTGCAATCACAGAGCTTTATCACATTACAGTATAATTAGTTATAAACATGTCTTTTGCCCTTCTAGCCTGAGGGCATCTTGAGGCTCTGGACACACGTCTTCAGCAACTGGTAGTAAGCAGGTACTAAGAAGAGTTTAGTCCTTAATAAATACACATTCTTAGAAATGACAATTTTTAAATGCTAATGTAAGCTATTGCTGTTACTTAAAAGCCAATTTTCCTTATGTAGAATGCAATAAACAAGGGCTCCATGAATTCCCAAATATGCTGTGAATATATTGCTTGTATTCTGCCCCTTTCTGTTTTAATAAGCTCACAGGCCAGGATTTCCCCAGAGTCTAAGGAACATAATAGGTCAACCTATATGCCTTTCTCAGAGCCGTTCCAACTCAATGATGACCCACTGCTTCAGCTTAGCACAACTTCAAGTAATCCTATATTTCTTCCACTAGATTTTCTGTTTCTCTGCTCTACAGTTATAGTTAATATACTTGGGAAATGCAGCAAAAGGGAACTGCTAGTTAAACATGTTGTGCAGTACACAGTACATTCACAGATTTTTAAAAAATTTCTAATCCTCATGTGAGGATATGTTTTTACTGATTTTTTTTTTTAGAGAGAGAGGGGAAAGGAAAGAGAGAAACATGGGTGTATGAGAGAAACATCAATCGGTTGTTTCCTGTATGTGCCCCCATCGGGGATGGAACCTGCAACTCAGGCTATGCCTGACCAGGTTCCAACCAATAAGTTTTTGGTACACAGGACAATGCTACAACCAGCTGAGCCAAACCAGCCAGGGCTTTTTACAGATATTTTTAGAATTAAGTGGGGGGAAAAACAAGATGTAAAACTGCATAAAAATGTCCTCATAAAAATACTTACAGAGCCCTGGCCAGTGTTGCTCAATAATTAGTGTCAGCCTGCACACCAAAGGGTTGAGGGTTCAACTCCAGGGCAAGGGCACGTACCTGGGTGAGAGGTTAAATGCCCTCCCCAGTTGGGATGCGTGCGGTAGGCAACCAATTCATGTGTCTGTCTCACATTGATGTTTCTCTTTCTGTCTCTCCCCCTCCCTCCCTTCCACTCTCTCTTAAAAAAAAGGGGGTGGGGTGGGGGGGAGTATCAAGTGAGAATTTAAAAAAAAAAATTAAAATGTTATTTAAAAAGGCTGGATGAAAATAAACCAAAATATTAATAATACCTGCCTTTGGAATATATCCATTTATATATACTTTTTTATTTTATTTATATTTTTCAAGTTTTCTATAATGATTTTTTTTCCCCTAAGGAAAATAATGTATAAATATACCTCTAAGGTACTGGAGGTTTCAGTTGTAGAATTTCCAGTATTATTGCTTGAGTTTGAAGACACTGTTTCATTTTTGCTTTCATTATCTGATTTTTCATCGGAACTCATACATTCAATATCTGCATCAAAGCCTGTTGGGTATCCCATTGCCTGCAATACCTGTACAGATTACATTAAGATTCAGTGTTATTCAAACAACAGAAACCACAGAGAATAGATGAAATATTAAAGACAAGAATTTCAAATCCACAACATTTGAATCTATTAACTACCTTGTAGGAAGAGCAAGATGGTACTAAATACATATACAAATCCTTGGTTTTACCTACCAGGGTATCACCATAAAAATGGGAGAAGCCTCCACAGAGTAATTAGGTTTAAATAAAGGATGGTGGAAATGAAAACCTGAGGTTGCTCCTGGTTCATTTAATTTGGAGGTAACAGATGGAGAAAATAGCCAAGTTCAACTAATGAGGTGAGGGGGAACATAAAACCGTACATTGGACTAGAAAAGAAAAAACAGGAGTGTCTAATCCTGAATTTCTCCTCTGGCCCTCAATTTTCCAATTTGTAAGACTGGAAGACTGATTAGTTGACCTCTAAATTCTATGATTCAACCCATTAGGAGAAATTAGCACAAAAAGGCCATCAAGAAGCTTTCTTTACCTTGAAACCAATTTTCCAGTCAATTACAAAGTAACATCTGAACCTTTCTCCTATTGGCCTCTTTGCTTTTAACTAAAACCATAAGTGAGCCCTGAAAGGAAGCATTCAGTCTTTAGGTTCAGTCTCTATAAGAAGTGAACCAGGAACAATTTCAGGTTTGTATTTCCACCCCTTCCTCACAAGAACTGGTTATGGCTTGGCTTCCTCCAATGTTCATTCTTCTAAAGTTCCAGTCAATGCCTGGCATTTCTTATCTTTTATAAAATGAGGTTTTCAGAGCTCTGTATGTGTGTACACACACACGTGCCTTTTAAAACCTCCCTCCAGATGACACTGCTTTTCCGTTTACGAAAAACATTTGTCCACCAGCACTTGTATAAGCCTCTTAAACAGGTTGATATGGCACTGTCAGTTACTAATTTAAAGGTTTATATCAGAAAATAAAGAGAGAGGTTCCTAAAGATCCCTGTATTTGCTTTAGCTTTTGACTAATGTTTTAAGTTGCTGGAACATAAAAGCACATTGTATTTCTGTACAATCCCAGCTATACCTAACAGGTGTCTCTCAAAAAAACTATTCTGAAAACTGATTAGAGGATGCCAGGGGCTAGAGGCGTGGCAAGGGAGACTCACTACTATGAGACATGAGAGGACTTTCTGGGTCAGACAAAATATTTTATATCTTGATGGAGGTGGTAGTTACACGCTTATAAACATTTGCCAAAAACCATAATCTCAGTAAATGATTAACTTTCCTGCATATAAATTATATCTCAATAAAGTTGGCTTTAAAAAGACCATAAATAAAAATAAACTATTCTGATAATCACACAAATGAGCAGCCTGGCAGCCCAGCCTTTATAAACAATGCCATCTGATATAACGGACTAGCCATATAGATAAGGTAGTATCACTAAACAAAAAAGAGCCTAAGAACTCTGTACAAAAGAACTTGAAATTAATTCACCCAATTCATATGGAAAATCTGGCATTCTGTTGAACACTTGAAATCACAAATAAATTCCTTGTATTAATTGGGAATAAAGCCAAGAACCCCCTTTTTTTTTAACATCTTGAGTTCTAAAAGTGGTCAGGTAGTTCTTGACACTGAGCACACACTCACGTCATTTGGTTACAACCTCATCAATGCTTTCTGAGGAAAATGCATGCTCCATTGAGTCCTGAGAATGAATATGTTCTTCCCGAGAAATCACATCCCTGAGAGAACAGTTACTAGCCTGGAATTAACACTAGCTAACAAGCTGCAAGTCAAAAGCCAGAGTCACAAGTAAATTTGGTTTATTCCAATAAAATCTAGATAGAGACATGCAGTTTCCCCCCATTTAAAACAGACAGTTAAAATAGCCTCATGTACATTACTTAGCACCATTTCTCTGCCCTTTTCTCAGATGTCAAAGTCATTTATTTACCTATTATTATAGTAACTTATTTCAATACATTCATAAATTGTTTATATAACAAATAATATCAAAGGATACAGAATACTTGCAATGCAGCTCAACTGACAAAAATTTCAAGTTAAGTAATTTTCTAGGAATACATAATTCAAAGATTATTAACTGGGGTGAGGGCATGTGCGGGGGGGTAGGGGAGGCCGGGGGAAGTTCAATGGGGAAAAAAAGGAGACATATGTACTACTATTTGTAATACTTTAAACAATAAAATTTAAAAAAAAAGATTAACTGGTATATGCTATAAAAAGTGAAGAGTTCTCAGACTTCTGGAATGAAAGTTTGTTTGAAATGAAAATTAAGGCCAAAAATTTGCTATACCAAAGAAAGGTGGGTTTCAAATGTCTAGCTAACAAATCCAACCTAAGGAACACATCAAATAAGCTGAAATTCACAAGATGAGTCGTGGAAATAAGGTGACTGGGAAGTCCAGTGTAATCATGCCTTTTTTTTCTCATGATAGGGGGCTGAGACTGAGAAAGATTACACCCTAAAAGACTAGAGGCCAAGAGTGAAAACACATAAAAACACATCCTACCCCACGGCTCTCTACTCAAAACAAAGTCCCATTCATGGCTTCTGTCTCATAGAGAGCTGATAGCTCCAAGAAATCTCCAAAGAGCCTTCACTTCCTGTCCCCTTCTAACTGATCTTTTTTCCATAATGAATAAGATTCTTTCCATGAAATACGGCTGCTTTTGTCCCTACAGGTGTTACTTGTGAGGGACTCTAAGGAGAAATAACTAGAGGAGGAAAGGGAAGGTTGGCCACTGTAGGCTTCCTGTTGCTGAGCTGCCAGGCTCTTGTGGCAGAAATTGGTTTCTTCTTGTTTTGATTCTATGGTGTGATTTGTCATAACAAGTACAGAAACCTACACCAAGCTTAGTGAGAAATGCAAGGAATTTTATCAAGTGGAACCTACTTTCACAAACACATGTTGGATATAAAACGCTCTAATATAGAATTTTTAACGTGGTATAACCTTATGGATGACAATTTGGAAATATATGCCTGATATTAATAGAAATCTTAATACATATTTAATGAATTAACAGACCATTCAAATGGGCTTTCTTCTTGACCTGGTAATTCTACCTGTAGAATACATCTTAAGGGAGAATCATACTAGTTCAAAAAGATGTAATCAACAGAAAGTATATAAATTTAAGAAAGGATTAGTGACATTGCAGTAGAATGGTGGTAATGAAATATTAGATGCTCAGTAAAAATGAGAACAATCTTTGTGATAACTATTTAAAAAACCTCAATATATTTTTAGATGAACAAAGAAAACATGATCCTATTTTAAGTATATATTTTGTAGTTCCCATCATTATTTTTTAAAATACATTTTATTGATTTTTCACAGAGCGGAAGGGAGAGGGATGGAGAGTTAGAAACATCAATCAGAGAGGAACATCAAATCAGCTGCCTCCTGCACACCTCCTACTAGGGATGTGCCCTCAACCAAGGTACATGCATTTTCTAAATCTCCAGTGGTATTTCAGGTGCTACCCCATGTTTGGTCAAAGAAATAGATAAAATATTCACATTAAATAGAATCATAAAGACTAAAAATAGCCACACATCAATTCTAGTCAAGTTTTCCCATCAAGTGAGTTTGCATCAAACTTAGAAAAGTATTTTTCATTTTTAGTACTTTTTGGATTTTGAAATTGTAAGTTGGAGGGGATTTGGAAAAATACATACCAAAATGTTAATGGTTATTATGAGAACACATAGCATCTAAATCATGTCATATTACAAAATTTACCACTTTACTAACTCGCCCAAATTTTACTAAATTGCAATTTGCTATGAAGCCTCTAGTTTATACAGTATTAAAGGTTACTACAAAATAACCACAAACTGTATCTCTGTACCATGGACATCTTTTAAAAGATATCATGCTATTCCTTCTTACAAAGGCCTACCCAAGGAGAATGCCCACCTGATTTTTATGCCAGAACAACTGTGCCTCTCATAATCAACTGTCCATTCTTATGTCATAGACAGTGGATCAAGATTTCACCTGCTTTTGTGTCAGATGCCAGAGAACCTAGGTCTATATTTGTGACTCATTCTCAGAATACATTGTAGCTAAATTATCAAACTGTATTTTTAGCCTTATTCCTGGCTTCACCTTTTCCCTCATTCTTGGCTTTCTTCTTCTGTCTATTTCATCACACCTGAAGTACCCCTTTTATAAATAAGACAGAACATAAATATCATTTTATATTATTAAAGCTTAGTTCTTACTTTTCTGCATTGTTCTTATTATTACCTGACATGTAACTTACTCACTTATATATCTGTGACCTGTCTCCCCAACATATCACACTAGAATGCAAGCTCCAGGAGGATAAAGACTTTGCTCCTTGCTGTATCCTTAGTTCTAGGATAATATCTGCATCTACATTAATAACGCTTCTTGCAAAATGGAATGATCATGGAAACAGACCATTTATATCTTATGCCAGATTGTTACATAACAGAACTTTTAAGTGAAAAACTTATCTTCAGTCTACATGGCCTTTGACATTTTCACATATGTCTACAAAAGGTCAAATGTGCTCTTAGAGGGATTCCAATATTTAGGAATTTTCTACAAACCTACATGAATTGGCTCAATCCTATAACATATTACCTATGTAAATCCTCTGAAACACAGAAAAGCACCAGGAACAAAGACAATGATCAAATTTATGACAGAAAATAATCTGCAAATAGCAAATATCCCATGATAAAGAAATGTTTAAACAAATAATATTACATCAATATCATGTTACTCAAACAACCATTAAATATCATTTATGAAGCTTTTAACACATGGGAAAACATTCATGACATGTTAAATGAAGAAAATCAGAGGGTAAAATTGGATAAAACATATATAAATATGAATCATCTGTCTCAGAAATATGCAACTAACATTTTTATTTCTTTTTCTTCTGTGTTTTCCAAATTTTGTATAATCAACACATATTTTACAACCAAAGAAGAATTTTGTGACCAGAAATCACAAAACTCTTTATATTATTAAAATCTAAAAAAAGTTCTATTAATTTAATATAGGAAAATAAACACCTTATTTACAACATAAAATAGCAAAGCACTAGAAAGTTAAAGACATACAGTACCTTCACTGCTACATGAAGCTTTGCTGTTTTCTTGGATGGTCCTGAGGCTTCGTATGTTGTACCATCCACGTCTACAGACATTGTGAAGACTGGGGCATGGACAGGGCCAGACTGAGATAAGAGCTTATACTGAAGCCCAGGCCTGATCTGATTTAGCCTCATTAGCGCATTCATAAGATCTATTGCTTTACTATCCAGAACTGTTAAGAAAAGAGAGAGAGAGATCAGATATTAAACCATTTTGCTTTAATCTATGCATCTGTAGGTTCCTAGTGATCACTATAAATTCATCAGATTTTTTAAAAGAAGAATTTAAAAAATATATACAAATAACTTCATATAATTATAAAATTACTCCTTAAATTATGCTAACATCACTGTAAAAATAATATGCACTACTACAGCTATACATTAATTTTCGTTTGGCAAAATTAATATACCCTAAACCAGTGATTTTCAACCAGTGTGCCACAAGAATTTTTAAAACATACAATACCTAACTATTTAGTCAGGGGCACTGACCTGTTTTTCCCTTAGATTGTCAAATAGAAAAACAACAGCCAACACAATAGCTGTCCAGTGTGAATGAATAAAAATTATCCCTTTTTTTGGTCATATCAGGAAATATATATCTTTTGGTGTGCTGCAGAATTTTAGTAATTATTTATGTGTGTCATGAGATGAAAAAGGTTGAAAATTGCTGTTCAAAGCAATGAAGCTTGGAAACAAAAGAAGTTATTTAATCATCAATTTCTCAGTGAAGATCTATTCTAAAAACCCCAATTCAAATCAATCAAATTCTTCACTATGAAAATTTTCGTTTCCTGAGACTATGAGTCTTTTCTAGTTAACATCTATAAGAATAAAGATTTTACATACTTTTCCTTAAGTTCCGTTTCATCTTCTTATTGGGATCTTTATCATCTCCTAACCCATCTTCAAATGGCCTTTTCAAAGCTGAAGATCCAGCACCTAAACAATTACAAGAGATTCATTATCAGTCAAAACAATGATTCTATTTCTCTACCAAATGTACATACTATGTTCAGAAAGGGAAACCTTAGGAATCACAAAGACCATAGTACTCTTTCATTGAACAATTAAATTACTGTATTTACCATTTTGTAATAGCAAAAACTTTTAAAGTAAATCTTTATGAAACAATTTATCCTTTTTGATAAATATTTATTTTCCCATTCATTCATATATACAAATACAAACACCTATGTATATATTCACATCTGTTTATGCATGGACAGAAATAGGTCTGGGAAGATATATATCAAAATGTTAAAGGTAGTGTTCTCTGATATTAGGATTTATTTTTACTTATGTCTTTTCAAGTATTTCTATAACTTAACATTTATTACTTTGTATAAATTTTTAAAGCTCACATGTTAAATCTTAGGCTTTTGGAAATCTGATTATTTCTCACATTACAAAATATTCTCTGTCTGTCGAGTCAAACCCTACTTAAGATTTTATTTACAGTTCATCTTTTCCATGAAGTTTTCTTCAGCTTTTTTCTCATCTCAACTTTCTAAGAGTTTCTATGGTATCAGAAATATAAAGCGTCCCATGTGGTAGTGTGTCATTGGCTATTTCACATGTTTTCTTAGTGCTCTAATGAAGGTCAAAGATATTTTGCCCGTGTCTTGTATCTTTAAAACTATCACAAGACTTAGAAACATCATAGTGGGTATGAACCAAAACTGAATGATATGCAATTTCTTGGGTAAAGCAGCTAGTTTGTAACGCTGTCAGGCAAAAGGCTTTGCTGTCCAGGTTAAAACCAATCAGAGAAAGGCTCATCAACCTCTCCAAGTATTTTAAAGATCTCTGTCTCTTCAACTTAAAAACTGGTGTGGGTTTTTCCTAAGGGGAAGTTATACTCAAGAGATTCTGCCACAAGATTTCCAGATACTTCTAATGAGACCTTGTAAGTATACTAACATTAACTACATATTCTTTAATCATCAAGATTTGTTGTCTCTTGAGGCAAACACTGACTTTACACTTGCTTGAGTCAATGCTTACTGCTGAGGTCTATAAATCTTGATGTTCTCTTCTACAGAAGGCACTATCTGCTTATCTGCTTAGTATTGTATTTCATCTGCATTATATAAAACCCTATGTGCCACTGTGGACTCAAGGGACCCGGGTTCGATTCTGGTCAAGGGCATGTACCTTGGCTGCAGGCACATCCCCAGTGGGGGGTGTGCAGGAGGCAGCTGATCGATGTTTCTAACTCTCTATCCCTCTCCCTTCCTCTCTGTAAAAAAATCAATAAAATATATTTTTTAAAAACCATAAAAAAAACCCTATGTGCCAGTCTCCTCCCTCTTTAAGAGAGAAAAGTTCAAAGGGAACACAGTCTACTCAATCACTCAACTGTTCACTAAGTTACATTAAAAGCTGCTACCTGACTGTGCAGAAATCACAAATGCTTAAAAGCATAGATCTCATCTCTAAATCCTCCGGCTATGAAGTTCCATGGATTAAACTTCCTTCTCCCATCCCAGCGCTTGTAGAACAGCTATAAATCTGGGGCTAACCATAATAGTAATAGGGGTGAGGGAGGAGGTAGAAATGGGCTTGTTTTATAAAATGCACGTCATTTTCAATCTATATAATATCTAGAAATGAGAAGTGATCATTTGAGAGGCAATAATTTTTAAAAACATTATGAGAGTGCTTACTATATGCCTGGCACTGTTTTTAATATCTTACATGTATTAATTTATTTAATCATCACCCTTTAAAGCATGTACTTCTATCATCCTCATTATAATTTCATGTATGTATTCATTCAGTAACAAATATTAACTGAGAATTTTCTATGTGCAGGATAATTTTAGATGCTGGACAAGAGAACAAAACAATGTCTCAAAGAGTTTATGCAAAAAATAAAAAGTTTATGCAAGGTGGTGGAAAGGAATTACAGCATGTCCTATAGTTTTGAACACAATGAAAAAAAAATAAGAGGCTTAAAGGGGAGGAGGTGTTGCTGTTTTGTTTGTAGTGCTCATCAGAAAGATCAAAAAGGTATTGCTGATACGTGTGACCTTTTGATGAAGACTTAAGGAAAATAAGAATGAGCTATTCACTATTAAGGAATGAGCCCCAAGCAAGGAAAACAGCCCAATACAAAGGGCAGGAACATGCTAGGAAACAGCATAAAGGCCTGAGTGGTTGGAATCCACCTGACCCAGGAGGAGAGGACAGCAGAAGATGAGGAGAGGCAGTAGTTCTGAACCCAAGCTGCCACTAATTCATCAGACGAACTTCCACAAAATATCGAAAAGTTCCACTTCCAGTATAAGAAAGTAAGTAAATTGAAAAAGCCTTCCTGATGTAATTAGAAAAACTGGACAAAATGAAGAATAAAATATGCTCCCAGACAGTGAAGACTATGGAGTGAGTTAGGTCTGGGAGAGGAAGGGAGCCCTGTCTTAGGGCCACATTTCCCCTAGGGCAGTGGTCGGCAAACAGTACAACGACTGAAATTTCTTTTGAGAGCCAAATTTTTTAAACTTAAACTATATAGGTAGGTACATTGTTATTAACTTAATTAGGGTACTCCTAAGCTGGCCTTTGCTAGAAACGATTGAGGTATGTTCGCTGAGGTCAACTCCTTCCAAATCTCCCATCCACACTCGTCTTGTATACTTGTTTCTCCTATTAAATTGATGACAAAAATACCTGTAGGATTTGCAGCTGGTTGGAAAAATACAGGTAAATTTAAGCTTCGAGTAGGTACTTTTGTCACCCGCGCACAATTTGCGGACGCGACTAGCACTAACCACTGCACTGAGACTGCTGACTGACTGGCTCACTCAACTCATGCATGAAGCGCGCGCTGCATATCCTGCGGCCCGCCTGCGTCACGTCTCCCGTCGCCTGACGGAACGACACCCTCCACTTCTTCTAAAGCTACTTCTTCAAAATAGACTCGCCCAGGCCGAAAACCGACTTCTGCGCATGGGCCACAAAGTTTCAATCGCGCACGCACGTGGTATTTTGTGGAAGAGCCACACTCAAGGGGCCAAAGAGCCGCATGTGGCTCGCGAGCGGTGGTTTGCAGACCACTGCTCTAGGGGCATCTTCCAAGTCCAGAAACAGCCAGTAAGGATTGTGGGGGCAAAAACTGAGGTGTGAGGGCCTCCAAGGGAAGTCCTGTTGAATCTCCCCCCACTGTGGATCTCATGAGGACTGAAGCCTAACTTCAAATCACCTTCTTCCCTGATTACATTAAAATGACCCAGGATTGCCAAAGTCACTAACCACTCCCAGAAACAGGTATAAATCTGCCCTGGGGAAAGATAGTATTACTCTAGCCTTTAAATTCTCCACAATTTTTTCATCTTAAGTCTCCAGCATTCACAATAACCAGGTACATAAGAAGATAAGATATTATGATCAAAAATCAAAGAAGGAGCAGACAACAGAAACAGAGCCAAAAGAGACCCAGATGATGGAGCTTTCAACAAACAAACTTTATTAAAAAGAATAATCAGAATGCTAAAGAAATTTAAAAGTAAAAAATAAAAACTAGAAGAATTTCTGGAAGAAAATCTGAAACTATAAAAGATCCAAATTCTAAAAATGGAAAATATAATATAAATTAAGAACTAATAGACCTGCAAGTGGAACTAGACAATCCACAACAGAGGGAAACTGACATACTCTTCCAGTAATCAGAAGAACAAGTAAACAAAACTATAGTATAGGTGTACAAGATCTGAACAGCACAACGAACAAATGTACTGCAAATGTTCATAAAGAACATTCGGACCAACAACTGCAAAATGTACATAATTTTCCAGACAAAATCATTTACAAAAACTGACTAAGTACTGGAACATAAAACAAGTCTCAAAAAAAAAAAAATCAAAGGATAGAAATCAAACAAAACATGTTCTCAGATTATAGTAGAATAAGTGGGAACTCAAATATAAAGTGGTAACTAAAAAATCCTTTTCTGTCTGGAAATTAAGCAATGACAACAAAGAATAAAGAATATTCTTTATTCTTATAGATGTTAAGTTTTTTGAGTGTAGACTCAGTAACCAGGAGGTCGTGGTTCGATTCCTGTTCAGGCAGGGCACATGCCTGCGTTGCGGCCTCAATCCCCAGTAGCGGGGCATGTAGGGAAGACCGTCTATCAATGATTCTCTCTCATCATTGATGTTTTTATCTCTCTCTCCCTCTCCCTTATTCTCTGAAATCAATAAAAATGTATTAAATAGCCCTAGCTGGTTTTGCTCAGTGTATAGAGCCTCAGCCTGTGGACTGAAGAGTTCCAGGTTCGATTCCAGGTGGGTGTGTGGGAGGCAACCATTGATGTGTCTCTCTCACATCAATGTTTCTCTCTGTCTCTTCCCTTCCCTTCTACTCTGTCTAAAAATCAACAGAAAAAATATCCTCAGGTGAAGAGTAACCAAAAAAAAATAAATAAATTTATATGTATGTGTGTGTGTGTATTAAATAGCTCATGTGTCAAAGAACTGATAATAAGGGAAAATAAAAGATAGTTTTAACCTAGTGATAATAAAAATACTAATGTCAAAAGCGTGTACTAGGTGCTCTTTCCCCCTCCCCACGTGGGAGTCTGTGCTGTGAGGTTCTTTCCCCTTCCCCACGTGGGAGTCTGTACTTGTTCTTTAATAAATTTCCACCTTGGCTATACCATCCCCGCCCCCCCCCCGCAAAAAAGCGTGTACTATACACATAAATCTAGGCTTAATGGAAAAATAGCAAATTACACCCAAAGAAGGTAAATTTATAAAACTATTTTAAAATTTAGATGAAATGGATAAATTCGTAGAAAAAAACAATTTACCAAACCTCTCACAAGAGGATGACAGTCTCATACCTATTTAGTAAAGTTGATCCATAATTTAAAACCCTCCCACAAAGAAAACCAAGTGCTCAAATCGCCTCAATAATAAATTCTTGTAAGCATTTAAGGAAAAAATAACATCAATCTTATGCAAACTCCTACAAGGAACAAAAAAGGAAGGGACAATCTCCAATTCACTTTATGAGACCAACATAATCTTAGAGGCAAAACAATACAACAAAGGAAAACTGCTGGCCAATCTAACACACGAACAGGATTTGCTTACAAAACCTATGCAAGACTGCTCATACCAACTTTATTTGTGATAACCAAAACTGGAAACAAACGAATTCCCTACAACAGATATACAGTTAAACAAAGTCTGGCTCATCCAATGCCACAGAATACTACTCAGCAATAAATCTAATGACATGTACAACAACTTGGACAGGCCATAAGGACATTACACTGGGGGATGGGAGGGGACTAGACAATCCACAACAGAGGGAAACTGACATACTCTTCAGTAATTAGAAGAACAAGTAAACAAAAAAGGGGAGATCTCAAAAGATCACATACTGTATAACTCCTTGAAGTGACAAAAATATAGAGGAAAGTCAGTGGTTTCCAGGGTTTAGGGATGATTAAGAAGAAAGAAGCGGGTGTGACTATAAAGGGGCAGTATGTGGAAGATGAAATAGTTCTGTATCTTGATTGTGAAGGTGGTTTCACAAATCTACACATGTAATAAAATGGCATAAAACATATACATACACATGGTATCAATGTCAAGTTCTTGCTTTTGATATTGTACAGCAAGCATGTCAAACTCCTGGCTGGCGAGGCATGCGGCCCACTTGCCACGAGTTTGACATGCTTGTTGTACAGTACTAGAATATAAGATGTAACTAGTAGGGGAAATTGACTAAAGGGTACATGGGAACTCTCCGTGCTAACTAGGCAACTTCCTTTGAGTCTGATTTTAAGATGAAAAATTAAGGGGGAAAAAAATTACTGCTTGTTGAGAACAGGCAAATGGGGCAAGGTCAGAAGCAGAAAGACCAAGATAGAGAAGTTATTACAATAACCCAGTTGAGAGATGATGGCAGCTTAGGCCAGGATGGCAATAGTGAAGAAGTTAAAGAAATAGCTGAATGCTGGAGATACTTTGAATATAAAACAGACAGGATTAGTTGATGATTTGGATATGGAGGGAAAAAAGAGAGGATTCAAGGATAAAGGTTTTTGCTTGAACATATAGAAGGATAGAGTTTCCAGTGACTGGAAAGAGCAGATCAGGGGTAGCATAAGGAGAGATTTTTGGATTTTAGACATCTTAAGTTTGAGATGGCTGTTAGACATCTGGGTGGAAAACTGGGGAAACTGGGTCTGACTGAGGTCAAGGGCTGGTAGTCTGGTGAGGAATAACTGGTGTTAAACATCCTATCTTCTAGTATAACAGGAGATGGGGGGGGGTGATATTTTTTGAGGCATAACGAGGAGAGTAAGTGGATTCATATTTGAGTCTGCTGTATTCGAGGAACTGAGTCAGGCATCTTAATCTGTCCATAGCCAATAAAGCAGGGTAACATCCCTAGGACAAAAGCAAACTCATTGCTCAAGACCTAAAGCTAGTAAAGAGTGGGGCTATGACTAGAACCCAGGCAATACTGACCCCAAAATCTATGCTCTTTCCACTGAAACTCAAACAGACTAGTACAAATGGAAGATACTCCTGGATTTTTCAATATACTTTTCCTTTATATTTGTTTTCTCTTTCTTGGTTATGTAACAGTTCCAAGTACAGCGATAACATCATCTCCTAGTTTATGGCTTACCTCTTCTCTTAGACCAGAGATTCTCAAAGTATGGTCCCTACATCTATGCCGTAATGGAATCTGGCCAACATAGTCAACTGAGTTCATCACTAATAAGAGTAAATAATAGCAAGCTGATGTCACTGATGGGACAGAAAAGCAGAAAGTCGGGGGGGGGGGCAATAAAAATCCTTATGCATGACTTGGATTAACAATTTGTTTAAATTAAGGTATAATTGGGACAACATTATATTAGGTTCAGGTGTTCAATATAATAATTCCACATTTGTCTATACTGTGAAATGATCCCACAATAAGTCTAGTTAGCATCAACAATTATTAAATTCCCTCACCTCTAATAAGAGATGCACCCCATAATCATCTCTACCACTGCCCATGCCCAACACCAATAAAAACACTTTTATACTCACCTTCTTTATCAGTAACTGACCAGGAGTATTTTTGAAAAGGCTTACTAGACGGAAGGGGGTCCATCTCCAGCACTTTATAAATCTGGCCAAAGGCTGACAGTCTCAGTGCATGCTGAAGAACAAAAGATTATAGTTATTCACATTTCAACAGCCATTTATAAAGCCCTTTTATAAAGACATAGAACATCTAGCTAAAAAGACTATTCATTTAACACTAAAGTTATGATGGAAAAGTTCCCTTAACAATAGGCAAGAAAATAGTGTTTAAATAGAAAAAACTCAGAAACTGAAGTGATGATATCCCTCTAATAGATCACAGTGATGTGCCCCATCTTCTACCTGGGCACTATGGGTAATATCTTCTTTTTGCTGGATGGTCATATAGCTCAGAGCATCTGTTGGGTCTCGCTCACAAGGATCATGAAGACCAGGACCCCCTTTGGTAAAGGCAAAAGAAAGACACAAGTACCACTTAGAACTGAGTTTAGAATTCAATAAACTAACAGAGAAAAAGGGAATAGAGGGGGGGAAAACTGAGAAACTACATCTGCTTAACTAAATGGAGTACAAAGGACACTCTCATTTTCAATATGTTAGCACCTAAATGTCCTCATTTTACTGGAAGTCACATATATCTAAGGTCAACATTTGGTCTTACTCTGAGAATTTAGACACAGCATGATAAATCATCCCAAATCTTTAAAGGGATTACATATAGAAAATAAAACCAAATTTAAAGTTTCCAAATTAAACACCAGAGTGCAAACAGAGTGAACTTAATACATTTTAACCAAACATCTGCATTTTCAAATTCAGAGCTCAAGGTAAAGCAAATTCATAGCAGACACAGTATCTTATTAGTACCATTTATGTTAGTATATATAAAACATAAATTACATTTATTGAAACAGAGTTTTATATTTCAACATACAGATATCCTATTTTCCTATTTGCTAAAATTCCAAGTAAAACAACTCCTACATATCACTTTCTGGTGCAGAGGATAAATTTAATAAGGATTTAGAAAAATAAACCAAAATGTGATTTTTCTGATTCTTCTGCCTCCAGAGTTTGAAACCCTTACCAGGAAGTAGTATTCCAGATGCCAAACACTCCATTACTCGTCTCAAGGCCTCCCCAGCGCCCAAAGGTCTATTACAAGTACCTATAGACTTTTCACATATAAGCTCTAGTGGCTAGAAGATATTAAATTACAAATTAGTACATGCATCAAGTGTTAAAAGGATTCCAGTTAAATGTGAGCTGACATTTCTATCTACAATGAAGGCCAAAACCATGAAAGTCCATTTATGATTTAGGACTCAATTAACTTTTCCCCTTTGTTTATTAACCTTTAACCCAGCTAGTGTTTTTAAATCTACCATTTTTGAGATAATATATTCAGAAGACATTTTGTTATAAAACTTGAGTTACCCTGAAAAGATCACTTAAGAAATTGTGGTCACTTAACTGATTTAATAAAAATATAACAAGCCTTCATATAAGTTAGTAATAGCTAATAACTAATCAATATTCAAACCCAACCCTATCTCCCACATAACCTAAGAAGCACTTAAACCACAATAAGACTTCATTTCAGACAGCCTGCCTCAAGTACTACAATTAGAATAAATGAAGGACCAAATCTCTATATTTAATAAATTAAAAACTGATGATACTATATGAAAGTTATAATTGCTAGACTAATTTAAAATGACCCTTTAATCCGGCCAGTGTTGCTCAGTGGTTGAGTGCTGACCCATGCACCATGAGGTCACAATTTGATTCCTGGTCAGGGCACATGTCTGGTTTGTGGGCTCGATCCCCAACAGGGAGCATGCAGGAAGCAGCCCATCAATGATTCTTTCTCATGACTGACATTTCTATCTCTCTCTCCCTTCCTCTCTGAAATCAATAAAAAATATAAATTTTTTTTAAAAAATGGAAGCAGCACTGAAAGAGCGATGTGCCAGTCAAGGAGCTTTCATGGGCAGTAGTGAATAGTGCAGAGCAAAGTGCAAAAAGACATTCACTTCTAAAAGATATAGAGGCTTTTTGTCAGAGAAAAAAATCTCAGGCTCTGTAACATGAATTATGATGAGGTAAAAGAGACATGTTACATACATAAAAACGAATTCATATGAAAAGGTGCATAATTTTTTCCCAAAACAAAAATAGGCAATGCATACCTCAGCTAACTCAGAATACAGCTATTTCATAGTAATATGTAATTTCTGCAGGAATTTCTCTGACTTTACTTCAGAATTTGCTTTTTAACTGTATTTAAGTACTTACCCATCCTTTTAATGGTGCCCATGTGGGGACTCTGTTGCACAAATCACGCAGAATACGAAGGACAATGACACACGATTTTAATCCATTTGCCCTTGCCTAAAACAAACAAAGTGATTCCAATGTCCTTGTTGAAATCCATTCATTTAAGCACAATGATCATGGATAGGTTCTTTAAAGTGAATACTAATTAGTCGATCATAATCAGTTGTCAAACAAATTTTAAAAATAAAGTAAAATTATAATTCAGAACGGCAAGTTTTAATGTAAAGGAAGCATACTATTAAAATTGCTTTTATAGCCTCATGACAACACACCATTCTGGGTCACTAAAGTTTTCACTTTTCTTGCCCATGTTTGTATTTTATAAGCCACCATTTGAAATTCAGAGTGCTAAGCTGAAAAGGATTATATTATAATTAAACATCACCTATATCTTAGAAGCCATACTAGGCATTTTACCTAAATTAACTCATTTACTCTTATGACCGTATAAGGTAGAGTACCCCACTTATAATTTACACAGAAATCATTAAGTGGCAAGTATGAAACCTATGCAAGGCTATATCAGCAGTAAGATAAAAACAAAGAGCCAACCTGAAACCATTTGGCATGTCGAAGAGACGCCAAGGCGTTCAGGCATTTCTGCCTGTCCAGTAAGTCTGGAGGATCTTTCATCGCAACCTTTTCTAATGGAAAAATGGGATAGAGAGAGACACATACAATTTGACCAAGGAGTTCCTGTCAAATTACCAAACAATAAATTTTTTTTAAAAGAGCGGCATTTGAGTTATTAACTAATAAGACTCCCAGAAGATTTCATGATTTGGTTTAGTTGTTTTTTTAAAGTTACATGCACTATGATTACTTAAGTAAAAAGTCATCAGAGCCATTCTGTGCACAAGTAAACAGGAGCACAAAGGCATTCAGTCAGTAAACAAATCAATGATCACCGCTACATACAATCTGGGATCTTATTAAGCACATATAACATCAAAGGGCACAAAATAGGTACATAGCACTTGTTCCTTTGGCTGGGTGCAAGCAGTGCAAATCTGGGACTAATAGTAATCATAACTATTTTTTATAGAAGGAATCTTAATCAATTCTTAAGGAAAACTGGGGCTCTTTTATATAATCAATTTGAGATATACTACGAATACACTGTGTATAGCAATTTTATTTTTTTACAACTAAATAAACTTATCCAACAAGATAGCCATTAACAGAAACTTTACCCCATTGATGAAAACTGTTCAAGGGTCATATTGGAGTTCCCCCATTATTTCTTTTCTAAGCCAAAATTATCAAAACTACAAAAATGAAAAACACTGAAATATATTTCAATTCTAAATTATATAAAATTTTTAAAGGCAGCAAAGAATACTATCTAATTACAGCTATTTGACTTGCCTTAACATTTTAAATTTGGATTAGAGGGCCCAAAACAGCAAAATTAAGAATTCAAACATGTGATTAATGAAAAATATCCACACTTGAGAAAAATGTCATATGATACTAAATCCAAGTTTAAGAGCCAAATATATTCCCTCTAAGCGATTACTGAGTGGGATTTCACTTTTTGAAGACTTGGTGCATTATTTAAATGCCAACAAAAACTACAAATGTTTCTTGGGGAGAAATTTTGTCTAGCCCAATGAAGTCAGATTCACCATTCTCCTTTAAGAACTTTTAGATGTAGGAAAGTCCACCAATACTTCTTCCTAGCATTATCATAATAATGAGAATTGGTAGTATGCTGTGTGGGCTAATTGATACAATGTAAATATTTTTAAGTAAGAGGCAGATAACTGATAATTTTTGGCTTCCTCATTTACAGGATTCCATTATGACATATATTCTAATTGGTAGCCTGCCATTAACTAAAACTGAAGGCATAATGCCCAGCAGAAAACAAATCTTTCAGAGGAAGAATTGGGGTTTTCTATAGCAGTGGTCACCAACCGGTGGTCCGCGGACCACTGGTGGTCCATGAGGTCTGAAATGTTGTTGACCACTATTCTATAGGCTGCAACATTTTAAAGGCTGAAGTGCTACACACTTATTTTCTGACCCGGTGAGCTCTACACCAGATATTTGCATTGATTCACATTAACTTCTGCCAACAAATTCACAACACAGGGCCTCATTTCACTACCCCCTTTTATTAAAAAATTGGGCAGCCTCAAAAAGTATAAATGTGGATTCATTTATAACCATAAGCAAATATACTATGGATTTTCACTTCATAGGTGATCTAGTTCCTGGACTTGCTCAATTTTGTCTTTATAATGACACAAACATACAATTAACTCATTTTAATGTTATATCGAAATGTTTAACTGTGGTCAATGCAAGCATCTGCATAAAGCTCACATACCAGATCAAACAAACTACTATAAATGAATGATTAGAATATCTTAAAAGTTAGACATGACAAAGGTTGACTGACTGCTAAGTAATGTAATCCCCAAAGGAGGTATGGGCTGTACTTATTTTTTAAAATCTCAATCTCTAAGAATGAGGCAAGCTTCATTTTAGTCTATCATCTTACAAGTAGGAGTTGGGAAGGGGGATGGGGTAATGCAAGACAGAAGGGAGGCAGAGGAAGTTTGGATAGGAAAAGACAAGGCAAACCAAAACCCTTTTAAACTTTCTGGTACTTTCATCCAATGGTCAGAACTTGTAAATAACATCTCATGCTCATTACAAAACATATTTTTAAAGGGGGACAATGGCAAAAATATGAAGATAAATTATTTCATCCCCAAAGTCAGAATACAACCACAAACTCTTATTTAAAAAAACAACAACAGAGGCATCAGCTTGCTACAGACAGTCAACATTTGGAGGCAACAGTTTCCACTAAGACAAGATGGAGGGGCAGGCAGTGAACAGAAGACTTGCACCAGATTCCCATTCACATCACCATCAGAATGCCTATGTTTCTTCCTGCTCTGATAGTCAAAATGTCAAAAGATCCAAAATGTTTCAATATTCATGAGGTGGGACACAGTAGAGGAAATTCATCTAATGTTACCTTCCTCAAAGTTTCTTTTTTTTTTTTTTTTAAATATATTTTATTGATTTTTCACAGAGAGGAAGGGAGAGAGAGAGTTAGAAACATCGATGAGAGAGATACATCGATCAGCTGCCTCCTGCACATCTCCTACTGGGGATGTGGCCGCAACCCAGGTACATGCCCTTGACCGGAATCGAACCGGGGACCCTTCAGTCCGCAGGCCGACGCTCCATCCACTGAGCCAAACCGGTTTCGGCAAAGTTTCTTATTTTAAAACCATGTGAATTCATTCATATGGTAACCAGTACCTGTAAGCCCTGCTTTCCTATTTCCTTTATATATGAATAACATATAGTTTTATATATTTTCATTCATTGAGAAAAATAAATTACTTAATGTGGCAATCATAGAATTGCTGCTGGAAAAACACCACTACTTCTAATAGCAGAACTTCAAGTTTAACTTTTTTTTTTTAAATGTATTTTATTGATTTTTTACAGAGAGAAAGGGAGAGATAGAGAGTTAGAAACATCGATGAGAGAGAAACATCGACCAGCTGCCTCCTGCACATCTCCCACTGAGGATGTGCCCGCAACCCAGGTACATGCCCTTGACCGGAATCGAACCTGGGCCCTTTCAGTCCGCAGGCCGACGCTCCATCCACTGAGCCAAACCGCTTTCGGCGAAGTTTAACATTTTTTAACACACTTCAATATAAGTGTTTCATTTTTGTGAGGAAGCAAAGCTTTTCTGATAAAAGGCAACTTGGAGTCTTTAAATTAGAAACAATGGAACTGTGAGACATTTCATTTTTTCCTACATTGATCAGTAAAACTAATTAAGAAATACAATTGGAATTTAAAAAAGAAAAAGAAAAAGAAAGAAAAGAAATAGTATGGGGAATGGGCATGGGGAGTGACAAAAATGTCCCCCAAAACCATAAACACACACACACACACACACACACACACACACACACACAAAAAAAAACCAAACAGCTTGTAAAAATTTATTGCTCAGTAACCTGGCACCAGGGCATGAAGCCACATAAAGCATTCTGAACAATGGAGGCACTGGAAAAGAAGCCTATTGTGCCGAACTTTATTTTGGTTAGAGGTTAGATCAGTGACCAGAAACACACCGTACTACAGGAAATGTTGGTCAGTTTCTCCAAATTCATACATGCATGCTAACTCTCTTCCCATTAACAAAAACACTAGCCTAGACACTGGATAGAGAAAAGCCAGAACATGACCGTAAACAGGAGTCATATGTCTGGAACCTGGGCTCTTCAAAGGTGAAATAATTGAGCTGGGTCGTCATGAAGGCCTCCTTGACAATATGGGTGAAGCTGAGCTACTGAGTACGTGCTGATAGAATGTTCTGGTTAGCCTGAAAATATGCTAGCAGCCCCTTCTCTTAATTCCTTGAGGCTCTGTGGAGAGCAGACATTATGCTTCAAACCGCTATCCATGCAAAACCTCAAGCCACAATAAAGTACACAGGTAAATGCAGCACTAAGGGAGATCAGAGAGACTGTTTTCCTAATTTCTGGTAGAAATGTCACTCGGTATAACTTTTTTTTTTTCAATGCCTTAGTAGACAGTTGGCCACTGGAAAGGTAACGGCTCAAAGTTTGCACCGGATTTTAGATCTAACAACTGGAAAAGGCAGGAAAAGAAAGCCTACAGTATCATTATAATCCCAGGTGTGATTTCTGGATTATAAGAATCTAGTACCTTCACCTAGCAGGACGTATGCCAGTGAACGTTTGTCAAGATGCACCAGAAGTTTACACTGGCGCTGATATGTGAAAAGGGACTCTTGGGCAACCTCTGTGAGCCCTTAAAAACCTCCCCAATACCAAGGGCACGGGGTTATCTTAACTTAAGCCACACAACTCTGTCATTTCCCTGTCCACCTGGTTTCAAACTGCATTGTAAAAAGAATAAACAGCTGATTTATTACCCTCATAGCAAACAAACTGCTTGTTTAAAATCACCAACACCAAAAGAAGCTGAGACTGTATGATGCTCAGAATAACCAAATCAGCTAAGACGCTCCTACACTCATCCTTGACAGCAATGGGAGCGTGGACAGTACAGTGGACTTATAAGAGCTGGGTCCAATGTGATACTTTCTCATTTATAAAACAGGGCAATTATCTACCCAAGAGGGCTGTTCTAATGGTTAAAATGAGTCATATGAAAAACTGCTAATAAAACAGTAAGTTATTTTATACCCTGACAGAGCTTGAATTCTGACATGCCCAATGTTAATGCTTCTTACATACTAGACCAGCAGTTCTCAACCTGTGGGTCGCGACCCCTGTGGCGTTTGAACGACCCTTTCAGGGGTCGCCTAAGCATATCAGATATTTACATTACGATTCATAACAGTAGCAACATTACAGTTATGAAGTAGCAACGAAAATAATTTTATGGTTGGGTCGCAATATGAGGAACTGTATTTAAAGGGCCAGAAGGTTGAGAACCACTGTACAGACAGTCCTATTTAATCAAACAATATGCTGGCTACAAAAATTCATCGGACAGATTTTCTTAAATTGCCTACTATGTATTAGGTACCATCTTAGGTGCTAGGGGGACAGAATCGGGGTAGAGAAAAAGATACCTGCCCTCAATGAATCATAAGCTATATAATACGCAAGCCATTAGCACTGTAGCAAGTACAAATTACTGATTCCAATGCCACACTTCAATGGGACTTTAGGTTCAGTTCTTCAGACCCATTATGTACACATTAATATACTGTGAGCTCAAGGCAGTTTGAGTAAGTAAGCTTGTGTTATGAATCTTTTTCATAAGCTACCACTATTTACTGAGCAACTACTTTGTGCTGAATATTGTATAGGTCACATTACATGAACTTTCATTTAACCTCAAACAACTTTCTGAAGTATTTATTATCCACATTTTTAAATTAAGAAATCTGCCCCAAGGTCACACAGAAATAGTAACTAATGGAATTAAGAATCGAACAACTGATTGCCTGACACCAAGGTCTGTGCTTTTAGCAGGAAGCATGTAGTAAAGGGGAAGGGTTATTCTATAGGACCTTCAGGTAAAGGGTTAAAATATGGAAATGTAAGTAGTGACCTGAAATAGGTAAAGAAGTGGACCTAAGGAGGTCAAGTGTAATGCCTTCAGTTGTCCCAGTTTTCCAGTTCTCTCTGCTCTCAACCACACTTTAACCCCCTTTTTATATTTTACCCAAATATGTATCAGTATATAGCCTGTTTTGTGGAAAGGGGAGAAGTTGAGATTCTAAAGAAAAATACTCTTTGAAATATGTTCCATGTACTTTTAACTTTGAGAAAGAAAACAAGTGCAGATTATTTTTAAAGGAAAAGTTATCAGCCTTAGAAATTCCTGGCACCCTAATGATCTTGTGCTTTCGCCCCCTACAGCTGGGAAGACCTCCATCAGAGGGAGGAGCTGTCTAGTGTAAGGAATCAAGACCTATAGCCTAGATCTCAAATACTCGGTTATGCCGGATCCTCAAATTTTCCCAGGAATACACAAAACTTCTAGCACACATGAGGAAAAAAAACTGTCTTTGACAAAACCCAGGTTAAACAAAATGAGCAAACTGGAAGAGATAACAAGTGAGTCAAAAGGGCTGGGAGGTTGAGGACAACAGCAAAGCACATCTTCCTGCCATTCAAAAGAAGAGGAAGTAGCATGTATGAAACATCTGAGCCAAGCTGGTTCTTTCACTTTCCCTGATGCCACACCAACTATGTTAACACAAACTAATGGAAGTCAGCCCTTAGAAGGTCTTGGGATCCTTCAGTAACCCAAACATCTTGAACAAACACTGACTCTCCTATTTTACCACAAGTTCCATCCCATAACTAGTCTTCTAGTGAGGATGCAATACAAGAATCTGTTTTCAGTTTCCCCAAACAGAAATTAAAAAAATAAAAACAACAGACTAAGCTTAAGGGTATCACTGAAAACTATGACAAAACCCCATGGAAGAACACAAAACCATGGGGAAAGAAGTCTGATGTTGTCTTCATATTTTCAAAGAGGTAATGGAAGGGACGCCTACAGCTACAAGCAAACATAGAATTAATATCGTCGTTGGCAACTGCAATCTTGTTCTCATCTCTCTATACTCAAATAATTTTTAAGAATACCTATAATTATAACTCTACTTAAAAATGGTTAGTTTTACACTAGGGGTGTCAAGTAGAACACAGCTTACCAGAATTAACAGAATTATCTTGATACTTCAGAAATCATTTTATAGTTCTACAGTTAATGGTGAACTGAAAAGCTGTTAAAGAAATTAAGCCATTTAAGATTGGTTCTTCAGAGGTGTTAGAGACACTATATATAGCAAAAAAAAAAAAAAAAAAAACAGTACATGCATAAACCCAATTATAGATTGGATGCACTTTAAATTTAAACTATAACTCATAAATGTATCTAGTTTAGATTGTTGGGTTTGGTATAGCTGATTTTAGTTACCCCAAAAGCTTTTTAAAAGGAGTCTATCACATGTCTGCCAAAACTCAAAGTTCTAACATGACTGGTAAATGTCTTTGTCTACCTTTATCGTCAACTTGAAATTAATTAAGAAACTGACCAATATTTCTTACTGCACTGGCATTTCAGGTAGGGGAGTAAGCAATGGGACTTGTTAAATGTCTAGTGATGAAAAGGAGCAATAGAAAGTCTCCATTGGCCCAGACAGGCTGGACTGCCTCTAAATTGTCATGACAGAGAGAGGGTGGTTGGTCAAAGGTCTGACATAGGTAAATATCACAGGAGAAATATCACAGGTCAAGTTTGTAGGGACAGAACTGAGAGGCGGAAACAAGCTAACTTGACAGAATAAAAACACCAGAAAAAGAAGTTCGGCTCCATCATTACTTCTCAAAACTGAATAGGTTTCTCACTCTACTTTTACAAGGATGACACTGCCATACAGGAATTTTTTTTAACTTCAGAAGAAAGTTAGTTTAAGGCATGATTCCCACACACATCATAATCAAAATGTTAACAGGATCACAAAAACCTCCTAGGAAAAAAACTTACTAAAGGTTAATTTTAAAAATTCAATCCCCCAATTTATATCTTACATTATAAAACATATTTACATATGGGCAATTAGGTAAAGCATAAATCTTATAAGGTTATATATAGTTAATAGAAGTCAAGAGCAATGTACAAATGAGTAATTTTAACAACTGAATAAATATGAAAATATTGTTTGGTCCACATTTAATCCTAGAGTCAGACCTAATAGCCAACTCTACCGAATAGGTTGAATGACAGCAATAACAATGCAATACCATAACACCAAAAGAGTATAAAATTAGTTATGACCAACATGGTAAGCACAAGTTTCTCAATTAACATATTTTATATTTCAAATATATACATTTTTTGCAAAATAGTGATTTATGTAGAAACAAAACTGTTTAAAATACTATGAATGGCATAAACAAATGAAGACAGTTATTTCATAAATCTATAAAGCATAGTTAACATAGCACTAAAGACGTCTTTCATGAACAAAACAAAATAAAAATATATGTGTATGTACCTCCATCCTTTTTCTCCAATTCATCCCTAATTAGAGGGGAAGTAAGTATCACCTTCAAAGTTAGCGTGGGCTCTTTTGTATTCCGAATTATAATAGATGCCTCATCTACACATTGTTCCACTTCATATTTCTCTTCTGTGAGTTTCTGAAAGTCACCAAGATTTCAAAACATCCAATTAGATTAAATTTTCAAAAAATGAATGATTGTCCCTTAGTTTCCAAGTGTTATTAACTACTAGTAAGACTGTGTCAAGAGAGTGAATAAAGTCTTTAACTAGTTCTTTAGGGATAACATTTCTCTCTCCTTCCAACTTATCAGCAAATCCTTTCTCCATCCCTCAAAAAGCAACCACAATGTCAACTCTCTATACAATTATAAACAGTATTTCAATTCATTCTTTGTAATATTTGAATGTAAAATAGCAACAGCATCATTATATTATAAACAGTAAATTAGTTTTTTTACATTATTACAGAGAACTATTATAGAAAAATAAATCGCTGGGAATGCTCTCTAAACCAATACTTTTTTTGATAAGACAGCCTAAAAAGGAACTCCTACTTACCAAGGACTTACAAATTTAAGATTATGTAGACTTTTATATACGATTATATAGATTTCTAAAGAGAATCAAGAATGAATAAGAAAGAATCTCTACAGTCACTAAACAACAACAACAACAAAAAAAAGTATAAACAAGTAACTTCCCTTCTCTAACTATAGGTCTCAGAGATCATTCCAGTGAGGCCCATCACTATGGGACAAGTTATCTGACACCCACAGGGAAATAAATGTATACTACTTCTTTCAATATACAACTATATGCAATTTAAGAACCTTCCACAAAATAATCACCAATTAGAATCACATAAGTTGTGTTTAATGTATTATAATACACACACACACACACACACATATATATATATATATATATACATATATATATATATATATATATTAATTACACAGGGCCATTATTGGAGGTCAAAATTTAGTACCTATTATCTGATATAAATAGGTAAATGAAAACACTACTGGGTTTTTGCGCATCATTGCACATTAAAAGAACTCAGAGTCATTTACATAAAAATAGCATTTTATCATTAAACATTTCAAAGAAAGATAGAAAATAGAAAATTCATTATCTACTTTTGAATAGAGGAAGCCAAGGAAGGGAAAGGCCACAGAGTAACTGGAAAAAACAGAACTGGAATATAAAGAAAAAGCAGAAAACTGCTCACATTCATTTTGCCACTATAAGAACATTAAAGATGTCCATCAGAGAATGAGTCAAACTAAATTTTTCAATTATTCATGCAGATCACCATAAGGCGGATCCAAAGTAATAAGCATATGGTGTTAAGTTCTGGACTAGACCAGGGGTGGAGAATGTCCAGCCCGAGGGGCCGTGTAAGGCCTGAGAAATCATTTGGTCAGGCCCTGCGCCAAGGCATTAGGGGTGAGTTAATTAAATGTTTGACCAAATATAGCAGCTAATTTTTAAGCTGATAATTTTGTATGGCCTGTGGATGATGTTATAACTATCCAAATGGCCTTTGTCAGAAAAAAAGGTTCCCCACCCTTGCATTAGACTAATTATAAGTGATTTCTGGTTTAGGTCTCCCTTCTTGCTCATGTAAGTTTTAAAATCACCTTAGGAAAAAAATATGGAGAGAAAAGGTATAGTACAACCTCAATTAATTAAGGTTCTTAGCTAACTGAATGTTTTACTATGGTAAGTGCTTAAAATAAGAAAAAGATTTTTAAACTCATAAAAAAATAAGAAATTGGTTTTCAACACAAATACCAAAAAAACAAGGGGGAAGCAGGGAGTAAAAGTAGAAATCATCCTTAAAATGATTTTCTGAAACATTATTAGTAATAGTAATAATAATGTGTGTGTAACTTATATGTATATATTTGGGCACATGTGTGTGAACATGTATACAATCTAATGAGAGGGAAGTACAATTACATCCCCATTTTATGTGGGTACCTTTACCCAGCACCTATAGTAATGGATCTAACCATCACACAAAGCAGCTGGTTTCACCATTGGATAGCTTCATTGGCTATATTAAATTGAAATGTTTCTCATAATTTTCATTATTGGTCTTCATAGTTCAGGCCTCTTTTAACCTTCTCCAAGAAGCCCTTCATAGACCTAAAGCTATTTGAGTCTTGTTTAGTCTTCTCTTGACTAAAAAGCCCCAATCACTTTAAATCTGAACTGGTTTACACAGCCTGCCCTCTCTCTTGCTCCCCGCCTTGAACACTTGCTAGCTCAAGAAGAGCATTTTAAAACTGTGGTGTCCAGAAATAAAGACACACACACACACCCCTCAGGAAAGGGAAAAAATGCTGTTCACACAGTTGTGGTCTGCACAGAGAAAGCTCTATTAATGCAAACTGAAGCTTGGCCCAATCTCCTGTATCTTCAATACCAGAAAAATGTGACAGACTTTCAGAATAAGAACTCTGATTTATTACAGCACTGGTTTCTCAAATCTTTTTCCACCCTAACACATGAGGAATATGACCACTCTCATAACAAACAGGACTCACTAAAGGAAAACAGAAAGGGGGATGAAATGGTTGAAAAAGCCTTTAATATAGCCACCCATTTTATTATTACTTTATTATAGATTTAAGTGTACAATATTCACTATACTAAAAGCAGAAATATAAATTTTAAAGCAATATAAAAAATAACGGAAACAAGAGGAATTTTATTAACATTCTAATGACAAAAAGTATAGTTAGCCAGAAACCCGCTATTGAGCTTTCTGTTTCTTTTTTTTAATATATATATATATATTTTATTGATTTTTTACAGAGAGGAAGGGAGAGAGATAGAGAGTTAGAAACATCGATGGGAGAGAAACATCGATCAGCCGCCTCCTGCACATCTCCTACTGGGGATGTTCCCGCAACCCAGGTACATGCCCTTGACCGGAATCGAACCTGGGACCTTGCAGTCCACAAGCCGACGCTCTATCCACTGAGCCAAACCGGTTTCGGCGAGCTTTCTGTTTCTTAAAACTTTATGTATTTCATGTTGCTTGCCACTTTCCCTCTCCAAATGATCACAAAGGGCTTTAAAAAATTTTTTTAAAGAAATAAATTTAACCCTAAAAAAGACCAGAAACATTTCATCAAAATCAAAAATGGAAAAGCCAAATGTTTATACAGGCACTTAAAAAATCATGTTAAGATCTAAGAAAGAATGATAAAGCATCATAAAGAATGATGCTCGCCGAAACCGGTTTGGCTCAGTGGATAGAGCGTCGGCTTGTGGACTGCAAGGTCCCAGGTTCGATTCCGGTCAAGGGCATGTACCTGGGTTGTGGGCATATCCCCAATAGGAGATGTGCAGGAGGCAGCTGATCAATGTTTCTCTCTCATCGATGTTTCTAACTCTCTATCTCTCTCTCTTCCTCTCTGTAAAAAATCAATAAAATATATTTAAAAAAAAAAAAAGGAATGATGCTCCAAAAATTAATATAGGGGAATATGTCAACAAGTAATACAATTTGACTGTTAAGAATGCTAGATTAAAAAACCAGAAAGATGGTTTTGACAACTAGTTGGTGAAAATGAAAGAAAGTGATCTACTAACAAAGCCAATTAAAAAGCAAGCTTAAAATTCCTATTACGTAAAGGGGAGGGGGGGGGCTTTTTAGAAGAAATATAAATTACTAGCAAAAAACAACGAAGAGAACATTCAACAACTCAAAGTTTGTACCTTGTAGACTGGTATCTATTTATTTGAAATGGATATAAGGACTAACTGATATGGAATCATCAAAAAGCCACAATCTAATAATACCACAATAACATATCTGAAACTGAAAAGTGATCATGGCTTCCCAATTAGTGATGCACTGGTCCTCAGAGTAGGTAGCAGCGTGGTCCTAGGGTTGCCTTCAGCCCTGGGGAGCTTTCAGCCTTCAGCAGCATCCTCCAGGAAGTATGCTAACATTAAAATTTTCTAAATGCATCACCAGGTAAAAAAGGTTTGGAAACAAGAAATTAACAGTGACTTTGCATTAAAAGAATGAGTGGGTGACTGTTAAATTAACTGAGTCTTTGATATTAAATATTACCATCTATGCAAGTCTCCAGTTGCCTCAGCTCTTCTTTATCTTTCAATTCTTTTCTGCAATACACTAACCCTTCCAAGAGTTTCACAATGCTGAGAGACCTGGTCTGTACAACAGGAAGGTTCTTAACAAGACACACCTGAAAAATTTAAGACTGTACCTTAACAGCCATCTTAACTTGATACATGTATCCAGAGTACTCATCACCAGAAATTTGCTTTATATGGGATGGATGAGTCATTGATCCAGAGAAGCAACATTCCTTTTGTTTGTACCCTTTATTATTACCGATTTCTTGTTATTGAATTCAAGGTCACTACCTATTTTCACCTTTTTACAAATTATCCTAGAGGTACAATTAAACTGTACTCACCTGAATCTGAATAGGAAGATTATCTTTGACTGTATTTAACAGGGTCTCCGTGGGTTTGTCTTTGCACATTAAAACCAGCTCCAAGTCCATATCATCTTTAATCAGCAAGCCTTTTGCAACCAGGCCAATTCTCATTACACCACACAATGTCCGACCACCTTGATCCCTAAAAATAAAAGTCTGAATGATTATTTTTACAACCTATTTCCTGACTAAAACTTAATCATTACTTGGTTTTCTGGCTATCCATGTGAAAGGGAGTATATAAATCCAGATATCCGAAATTCCATAAAATTAAGTCTGCAATTTAAGGCTCATATAGTATCAACCTTCCCCAAGAAATCATTAGGAAGCATATTTCAGACAAAAGTTTTAAAAATGTTTCATCACATCTATATTGCTCAGGAAAATACAAAATACTGCATCTCGATCTTAAACACTTTTTCAAATTAAAAAATTCTTCCTATTATCTTTTTATTGGTAATTAAAGAATTTGTGAGGAACATGAGCACCATGGGATACTGAGAAAGCATCAGGATGGAAATCTAAAAGTCCAGAACTCTACTCCTAGTGAAGCCTGCTGGTTCAGTATCCACAACTGTCAAATGGCTATCGGCTAGATGAGTCTTAGCTCATCCCTTCTAGTTGTTATCATTCTAGGAATCCATAGGTTTATCGAGAAAGCAGTTTAATGTGATAAAAGCAAAGGGCTGAGGAAAAAAGAGACCAAAGATAATTTGCCAGGATATGCATTGAGAATCCAGCAGTAAATAAAAGAACAAATACTCAAAGAACATCAAGTTGTGAGTGGTGCAAAGAATAATGTTAGCAACTATCCTTGATTTTAAGTTTTTTATGGGTTCATTTTCCTTAATCACACGTGAAACTATAACTAAGCTGAGCCAGTCATTTAACAAGTAAGCAAATGTTTGAGTATGGACAACATACTAAAAGGAGATCCAATCACTCCTGCTCCTGAGGCTTACACTGTGTAAGTACACAAGCAGTAACCTGCTTAAAAGGGGAAGAGAAAGTAACAACTGAGAACAAACTGCATATCACAATTCTCATTTATACCTCAAACAAGCCTGCATTTGAAAAACAAAAAATTGTGAATCTCAGACAAGCTGATTAATTGTTCAGGTTCACAGTGAGAGTAAAATGGCAAAGCCTGGATTCAAACTCAAGTTGGTTTGATCACAACACTCAGGGTTTTTTAAATTATAGTCGCATTCCAAGTACAGAAAAAGGAGAGGTCAAAATTTAAAAGGTTAAGCAAAGCAACCTGAAAGTCTGACTTCAGCCCAGTCTTGATTTGGTTAAAAAGTCATTCTAGCTAGAGGCAAAGAATCAGCAGAGTTGGGCAAAAGTCAGCAGAGTACAGAATGAACTGGAAAAAGGAGAAAGGAAACAAATTGTGGTCACTGAAACAAGACAGTAAATTATAAATAATCCAGTCACTGGTTCAGTGCCTGGCACACCTCAGAAATTCATAAATAGTAAATCAATAAAAAAAACCACAAAGAAACTTTAAGGGTGGCAAGTATAGAAAAAAAATAAAATAAAAAGCATTTTAAAGCAAGTGACCCAATTTAGGGAATTACTTAATATTAATAACAGTCAGGCCCTGACCGGTGTGGGTCAGTGGTTACAGTGTCAGTCTATGTACTGAATGGTCACAGATTTGATTCCAGTCAAGGGTACGTACCTGGGTTGCAGGTTCAATCCCTGGCCCTGGTCAGTCGGGACTCATATGGGAAGCAACTAATCAATGAGACTCTCTCAAATCCATACATTGATGTCCCCCCCCCCCCATGCTTCCTTCCACTCTCTCTGAAAAATCAATGGAAAAAATATCCTTGAGGGAGGATTAATGACAACAAAAAAAGAACAGTCAGACCCTGGCCAGGTGGCTCAGTTGGTTGGAGGATTGTCCAAAGGTTGTAGGTTTGATAGCTGTTCAGGCACATTCCTAGGTTGCAGGTTCTAGACCTGGTCAGAGTAAGTACAAGAAGCAATCGATGGATGTTTCTTTCACACTGGTGTTTCCCTCCCTCTCTCCCTCTGTCTCCCCCCCCCCCCCGGGTCCCTCCTCTCCCCTTCCTCTCTATCTAAATTAATTTAAAAAACACATCCTTGGGTAAGGATTTAAAGAAAAGAAAAAAAAGAATAATCAAGTCATCTTTGATTTTTTTTTGTCTCCCTGTCCTCTCATATTCATTCTCCCAAATCTAATAATAATTTGTAAATTCTCCCTCAAACCATTGCCTTCAAACTAGTTTTTTTTCAGGCTCTTACTACCTCTCCCCTATACTATCTCAATAACCTTTCATTACCCTGATTGACTAACCTCTGCCATCTCCAATCTACACTGTATCCTGCAGCCAGAATAAATTTCCAAAAGCACTGCACAGATGATGGCACTCTCCCTGTTACTTTCCTGGTGTCCCACTGAACACTGACAGCATATTGAGAGGCAATTTAAAAAACCATATAAATACCTGGTTCGAATCCTGGCTCTGCTACTTACTTGGTAACAACACTGGACAAATTACAAGTTACTTGACTTTTTGAGCTTACTTTCTCATTTGTAAAAAGGAAATACCTTCCTCTCAGACCAGTACTGAAAATATTTAATGTAATTAATGAGCCTGGCATATATTAATAGCTCAATAAATAATAACTATTAATCCTTCAACAGTCCATACACTTTCTCATAACTAGATCTTTATTTTAAAATATATTTTTATTTATTTCAGAGAGGAAGATGGAGAGAGATAAAAACAGCAATTATGTGAGAATCATTGATCGACCACTTCCTGCACACCCCCTACTAGGGATTGAGCCTGCAACCCGGGTATGTGTCCTGACCAGGATTTGAACCGTGACCTCTTGGTTCATAGGTCAATGCTCAACCACTGAGCCACACCGGCTGGGCGCTCATACCTACATTTTGCTGAGATTTATTTTTTCTTCCACTTTCACTACCTGAGCCAAATCCCCACCCATCTTCTAAACCTACTTCCTTCACAAAGTTTTTATCTGATCCCCAGAACCAGCACATAATCTCTCCCTGCTCTGTACTTTCACATTTAGTCACAGGAAATGGAGGCAAAGATGCTAAGAAGACTGGATCTCGAGTCCAACAGACTTAACTATGAATCCTGGCAACACCACACACACTCATTCAATGACTTTAAGCAAGTTAAAGTTTGATAACAATACCGAGTCACTTGTTTTTAGTAATCAAATCTGAAATAGTGAAAATATCATAAATGAAATGGTGGCAGAGGAGGAGTATAATAATAACAGAGACTAGCAGGTTTACAATAATGTGGAAAATAATCTGGTACAGTAACTGGCATGCAATACAATGGTAGCTATTGTTAACTAGCCATTATTAGCTCACTTATTAAATGCTATATCATAATTATGACATATTTGGTCTTTTCATGTAGAAGACAGCATGACTGAACAGAAAAACTAAGTCCTAATTCAGTCCTGAAGTTAATAATGAACTTGAATACAGAAAGTATTGTAAAGCAAGCAACCCAAATGCAGGGAATTGCTTAAGAACAGAATCCTAATCCTATCTAATAAAAGAGAAACATGGTAATTAGCGTACGACCGCTACCGTTCCCATTGGCTAATCAGGGCAATATGCAAATTAACTGCCAGCCAAGATGGCAGCCGGCAGCCAGGCAGCTTGAAATTAACATGAGGCTTGCTTGCTTCAGTGATGGAGGAAACCAACGTTCCCCGCCTGTCGCTGCCGGCCTCTGAGCTGCAACTCTAAGCAACTATGTTACAAATATAGAAGCTAAACAAAACCCCCAAAACCTGCTTTAGTCCCCGGGCTTCAGCCAGCAGGATCGCAACATTGTTTCAAATACTGAAGGTAAACAAAGGCCAGAAACCTGCTTTCAGCAGCGGAGGCCTAAGAGCTGGAGCCTCAGAGCTAAAGCTGGCCCAGAATAAAAAAGAAAAAAAAGGAGCCGTTGGGAGCTTCAGTCACCTGCCAGCCTGAAAACAGCCCTCAGCCCCTCACCCAGACTGGCCAGGCACCCCAGTGGGGACCCCCACCCTGAAGGGTGTGTGACCAGCTGCAACAGCCATCATCCCCTCACCCAGGCTGGCCAGGCACCCCAGTGGGGACCCCGACCCTGATCCAGGACACCCTTCAGGGCAAACCAGCCAGGTCCCACACGTGCACCAGGCCTCTATATAGTAAAAGGGTAATATGCCTCCCAGCACTGGGATCAGCGTGACAGGGGGCAGCATCCACACCCCGATTGCCCTGCAGCTCTGTGTGTGACATGGGGCAGGGCCACTACCTCCCTATCTGTACTGCTCTGTTTGTGACAGGGAAAGGCGCTCCAACCCCCTGATCAGCCCTGCTCTGTGCCTGATAGGGGGGAACTCCCCAACCCCCTGATCGCCCTGCCACTCT